ACAGTTAGACGATTAAAAGTATGTCTTAAAATATTTATACTGTGGAGCTACTAGTACTTTACCATGGACCCCGTTAGACATTCCGTCATAAGGACCAGTGTCTGCCAGTCTATACGTGACTTAAAAGAGATTTCTCGATTTCTCGATCCGCCACTGTTTAAGAATCTTTCAATTTTCAACTTCACAAAGCCAATATAAGGTGCAGTGCATTAATAAGGGAATATATATTATAGACAATATGCTTATCAGGTTCTGTCTTATTTTAATCCGATTTTACGCTTTCTCCGTTATGTGATTCCCTTATTAATGCAATGCACTATATGGTAACATCTGCTGCCGCTTGATCCAAAACCCTTCGATCCATCCATATCGACGCATATACGTAAAATACATGTGCATGTTGCTATCAAGCAAATACATAAGGAATTTACCTTCCACATGAATTCGAAATTTGTAATCATATTGACAGTTATTGTAATCGTTATGATTGTGGCCAACCTCGTGACAGTGTGTTGCTGGTTTTAACGTCATTTTATCCCATGACTTCAAGGTACGGTATTTTGCCGACATTGGCGGACATGTTTCTTTCCTTCACATTAACGTCACTTCAAGATGATGCCAATGTTCTTCAAATCAGTTTACGGTGTCTATTTTAAATGAGCATTAGGAAAGTGGGAGAGAGTTATAAAGCATCTGTTGAGTGTAATGTTTTTATATGGATCGAAGGAAATGACTAAGGATAACGGAATACTGGCCGGTATTTTCTAACTAAAACCTTTTTACTTATTAAGCTACATAGTTTTCCTTTTACATCATTAACAAAGCACTCTTATCACTAACTATACATTTACGATTGAAACAAGGAATTAGCATCAGACTTTGATGCATTATCTATGAAAGAAAAAGCTCGATATGATGCATGGAATCAGTGGAATCCAAGAAACATCACTTGCAACAGAAAGACTGGGAGCTTACCTTGACCACTTTCATAATTCAAACAGATCAATAACTATTTGCGACAAAATGAGAATGAACATAAAATCTGTGATATTTGCATGTGCACTCGTATTGACAATATTCGGAGTGTACTTTGTGACCGTCTACTCTGGACGACAGAGACAGTATGATCAACTGTCAGACCCCGATCAACAGTGGTTGCAGGCGATTATGAAGGAAATGAAGCAAATGGACGCAGAAAAGACCCCCGAGTATCAGATACCCAAGGGAGGCAACGTCTTTGGAAGATACGGAAACGTAGCGGACAAGTATCGAGGAGAGGACAGAACTCAAAATATTTTCGGAAGGCGTGGAGATCTCGGCATAGAATGGCCAAAGCGGGATGATATATTTGCTTCTGTCGACAATTCGGAGGAAAAGGACGAGAGCTCTAATAACGACTTGCAGGGCGAATACTCTGATTCTGATGAAAAGTTAAAGCAGGCCGAATACTCAGAAGGTAGTGACAACGCCAAACGGTACGGATACTCTCGGGAAGAGCAAGCTGCACAAAAGGACTCTACTGAATATGAGGACGATATGCAATATAAGGATATCGAGAATCATGAAGACAATAATTTCTTGAAATCAGCTGACAACAGTTTGAACAAATTTAACGCCAAATATGCAGACGAGCACTTTACAGTTTCAAATAAAGAGTATCAGAACATTATAGTTAATAAAAAAATTGATACGGATCAACCTACACAAAATGCACAACCTACAGGATACTTTTCATCTACTGAAATCGATACAAGTGAAAGACAAAGACAACCAATCATGAAAGATTCAAGGATAAGAATCGGATATGAATCAAATGTGGATGGAGAAAGGCGGCAGAAAAACAAATGGTTTACTGCTATAGCTCCTTCTACCGTACTAAAGACAATAACAGAACCAAGTAAGAATGATATACCTTATTCATCTACACCATTTAAACAAAATATAGAAAGTAACCTGCAAAATAAAGTCGAAGACAAAAATGTTCCAAATCGAGTTATAAATGAAACGTTCTGGGCGGAAAAAGTCACAGAACCTTTAAATCCCGAGGAGAAACGAAAATCTGATCCTGGATATCATGTTTTTACTCCAAATATTCAAAATGGCGAGGTGGAATCTGTGTACGACAAACTGAAGAAAGACTTTGAGTACCACGCTGCTCTTTTGCAGGCGAAAAAAACAAATGCTAACACTAACATTGATTCTCACAAGGAGAATGCTGACAAGTACAATATGGGCACTGTACAAGAGAATGACTCGAAGGCATTGCACTTGTTTGATTGGTATACCCCTGGAGTTGACCCATCCGTAAGCGACTGTACAATTTTCCAAACGATTAGTGGAGTATTAAATATATGTGTTTATCCGGAAGACCAAGACAGCGCGATGTCTACGACTCTGCAAAGAAGACATACATGGGAGTTCGAAATTTTAAGAGATGTGCAGTTGGCATTACTCAAGAACAATACGTACAATCTCATAGACCTTGGATCAAGTTTAGGGATGTATTCTCTTGCAGCTGCTAGTCTGAACCGAAAAGTTATTGCCGTTGAACCGTTCATCGCACATGTGCGCAGATTCCAAAAGTCAGTAATGTTGAATAAATTCCAGTCTATTATTACTCTTTTGGTTAATGCCATTTCGGATCAATATGAGTTTGTTCAGTCTGAACACCCAGAAGGAGACATGACAGCGTCAAGAGTTACATCCCTTGATGGAGACCACTTCTTGCAAAAGGACATAGATCAAATGCGTATTGTCAACACAATCACGATGAATGATTTGCTTAATGTGGTTGACTTTAAATCTGCCATTTTGAAAATGGATATAGCTGGGGATGAATATAAAGCTATGAAACATGCGGACAAACTGTTCCAAGCGATTAACATACCTTTCATCTTTATGCATTGGACAAACATACAAAACATTGTCCATGCTGGTGATATAATAGCATTCTTAGTGGTCACAGGATATGAGCCTAGGGCAGGTCTTGATGGGAAGCTTTTGGACATCAAAAAATTTCAGAACTGGGCGGGAGATGTCGTCTGGCACTTGAAATCTTCTTCCTGAAATCATAGCATGAACGTGTCTTCAAAATCTATTACACTCAGGAGAGAGAGAGAGAGAGAGAGAGAGAGAGAGAGAGAGAGAGAGAGAGAGAGAGAGAGAGAGAGAGAGAGAGAGAGAGAGAGAGAGAGAGAGAGAGAGAGAGAGAGAGAGAGAGAGAGAGAGAGAGAGAGAGAGTTAGTTAATTGATTTATGCTTTAGAGGCAACTTTATATAATCTTTTCCAAGAAGCTGCACAGTTTTCCCTTTTTCTTAATCCATAGTTCTATGTAATTTGATTGACATTTATTTATCCACAACTGACAATCCCTCGAGGTAAATGTTTTCTAAATATCTACTATTATGTTGGACAGGTAAACTATTTTCATTCATGCAACACTCGAAAACAGTGCATGAGAGAGAGAGAGAGAGAGAGAGAGAGAGAGAGAGAGAGAGAGAGAGAGAGAGAGAGAGAGAGAGAGAGAGAGAGAGAGAGAGAGAGAGAGAGAGAGAGAGAGAGAGAGAGAGAGAGAGTCAATAAATTAAATTAACTCACTATTAGTAAGCTTTGGATATGGGAGCAAAAATTATTCTTGGGATGCCTTCAGGACAGGCACTAGGGCTATGGGAACGAGGCAACCGTATTGAGCCCGGCGCTTCTCCGGAATAGTTTTTTTTTTTTGCTTGGGGGCCCTGCGCTTATTCCTTGCTGACTTGGGCCCCGTATTCTGCCTTGGACCATGTACATCCTAGGGCAGGACCTGAATGCCTTGCCATACATGCGTTCAGGGCCGTAATTGCTGACATTAAGTATGACGCGAAATTATATGATATCGAACATTTTGATGGAATAAATACTAAGTTAAATTATATACTGACGTTTTTTCTTGATTCCATATTATAAATGATAAGGTTAAATGAGAAGTGTTCGCGCTCTTAACCATCAGAGTGGGACACTATAGGGTCCTATGAGTTACTAATAGTTGAATTCAAGGATTCAAAAATCAGATGCAGTCGGAATGAATTCATCTCATTTCAATTTTTATCCTATTTGAACCCCTTGACTCAAATATTTTTGTCTAGTGAGGTAGATTTTTCATCGTCAGCTATGAAATGTATTTGTCATACGTTGTCTACATTACTTGGTCAAAAGATAAAACTATATGGCTTCAATAAATAAAATTTTGCCTGTAAAACACATCAGTCAGACATGATCAAATGAAATTGAAAGCAGTCTTGAGCAGAATGTTCCATTGTAGACTGCATTGTCATTAAACAACACATTTAGTGTCCGTTGTTTCCAACGCTAGTTCTATAAAAATTCGGGACGCAGATGATTCAAGTAAGACTGTTGGCTTGACTTACATTTTAATCTATTTACATATGTATTTTTGTGCTTCCACTCTATTTATTCGTCTGTCTACCTGTCTATCTATCTGTCTGTCTTTTTAAGCTCGTGTCTCTCTTTCTGTCTCAATGAATGTGTTATGATTTAATGGTCTCTAATTAACAGAAAAAGCAAAACCATCACGGTTAGTAAGGTTAAGCAAATAATTTAATTCTCAAAATGAATACTTAAGCGGAACTTTAAGTATTATGAATTAAATACATAAGCGGAACTTTAAGAGTTATGATTTTAAATGCCAAATAATCAGAAATGCTGTGTGTGTGTGTGTCTGTGTGTGTTTGTGTGTGTGTGTGTGTGTGTGTGTGTGTGTTTGATTGGGATTTTCAACGTAGCTTTTTAACAATTGTTTCAGTCATATCGATACGATATGTATGGTGTGGCAGTTTATAGTGATGTCTAGCACTGGGGCATCATGCCGCAAACATGTTGCATCATGTCCCACAAACACATAACCTGACACCAGGCCGACCAGTTCTAACGCTAATCTCTTAGTGCTGAGCATCAAGCGAGGGAGCTGTTAGTACCATTTTTTTAAAATAAGTCTTTGGTATGACTCGGCCGGGGTTCGAACCCTCGACTTCCTGCACTCGAGGCGGACGCTCTAACCATTAAGCCATCGGGGCGGTCCCCTAAAAGTTTTGTGACAAATCCAAAAGTAGAGAACATTCCGAATGATTTCCAATACTGAATGTGCATATGTACCTAAAACCTTGAACGGGCCGATGTGTTAACAGTGTTGATGTATCACAATGACATAATGCAGAATGTTTGTGAATGAATTTAAAATAATTCTACAATAGTGAATTAGTCCAAAATTTAGTGAGCACTTTGTATTATAAATAAAAATGTTTTTTAAAATAAATGATTCCTCTCAAATTATATCTGAACACAAGAGACTGAAATTAAAAGAACACATAATCTTGTAGATCTGAACCTTATATACATCCACAACTTGAAGATATGTCAGAGTAGTATTTTCTGAAAACTGTAAACAGTCGTTTTTTGAAACTTCTATGGTCATAATCAAAGATAGATACTGAACTCAGACTTTACTGCTTACAAACAAGACAAAAGATCATGTCCACACTAAACATCTATCCTCAATTATGGACACAGGTCAAGCGCAAAATGAAAACTACATGTATATAACAGTATGTATGCATATGTCCGTATTATTTACGTATGCATTTTTATCAAATAATCATGGTTTATATTGTTGTTATCTTTAGTTGCGGTAACATTATATTACGCTAAAAAAGCTTAATTCCACTAACATGTATTTACCATACCAACAACTTGTGAGATACGTTTGGGAAATTTATATCCACTTATTTAGGATGAGACAGTCGTATACAGAACGAGCAGACGAGAGGGCGAGGGCACGGATCTTTTCATTCTAAGACACTAAAGGGAAGATATATTAAATGATGCTGTTATATATGTACATGTACTTCTGAATTTAAACTGAATTATGAACAGTTATCTATCACTAAAGATACAAAGAGGAACAGACAGGCAATTGGAAGTTTCTGTTATGAAATGACGGTTACAAACGATTTCTTGATTGTTTAAATTTTTATGGTAGTATGCATATTCATCCAGTCAAAACTCATCTGTCGGAATTAACCCGTGGCTGTGATTTCACATCGTCTGTCTGTATGTCTGTCTTAATTTTTTATAGACATCATTAACAAGTTGACGAAGGAAAACTCGTAGTTCATGAGAGGAATGAATTACTTCATTCAGTATTGTAATTCCACAATAAGACAGCAGATGGTATTGATTATATTATTCAAGGTAACTCTCAGGATGTTATGGTTCACCTTTATTGAATGGTTTAGGACCGTTTATAAGTCGAGTTCAACAGCATTATGTGTTTGCTGATTAGGGTTTCTATGTTGTGTGTTTTACTCCTAAAAGAAATGTTCCATAAACCTAGATTTGCCGGCACATTATCTAACGCTTTAACAAGTTACCGTGGTTACCATTATGAGATGATACCTTGCTGACTACTTCCAGCAGTACTTGTCGACAAGAAACCATGTACCAAATCTTCAGTATCGACCATATATTTTTTCCTCACTTTTCTGCATAAATATTTAGTGCAGGGAAGTTACTCTTGAGAGACATAAACAGACAAAATAAGAGAGGGAAATGAGAAGCCATTCTACATGCTAGTATCATAGGTGGGTTAACTGATATTATTGAAATACCTCTGCTGAGTCTTTGTCGTGTGGTGTTTTTTGAAAAACAGTCTTGAGTATTTGAAATCTATATCTGAAAAAGCATTCTTCATATCTATGAGACACTGGTAATACAAGGACTTTTTTGCTGCATCTGCAAATATTTTCAAGCAGTTTATAAAATCATGTATATAGATATATATATATATATTAAATTACCTACAAAGATCTACAGTAAGTTCGTTCCCCAATACACGAGAGAAGGTAGATAACATTTCGCTCATGAATAAAAAACACTGATACCGTAGTTATGTCCCTTTTGCTCATAAGTGAGTCTCGTTGATTAATAAGATAATTATATCTAAAGAGATAAAAACAAAACCCCAACAATCATAAAAGATCTGATTTAGTTGTGAATCTTGCATAATTTTTTTTAAAAAAGTGGTTCTCACTGTGATTGGAAATAATAGAAACGTGCATGCTAGGTACTCAGATGTTGGCAGTCTACACTTTGATACATATTGATATGTACAAAATGACTAATAAATGAGGAATATCAGTTAGAATTATTTCTATCTTTTTAACATAATAAATTCTCTGAAATATCATTTTTTGTGTAATTATTTATTGATACATTTGCAATTTTACTTATTCAAATACCACTTATTTTCTCTCTCTCTCTCTCTCTCTCTCTCTCTCTCTCTCTCTCTCTCTCTCTCTCTCTCTCTCTCTCTCTCTCTCTCTCTCTCTCTCTCTCTCGGTATAGTGGCATGAAAATTACTGATATTTACCTAGCTATAGTTAAAGGATAATCGACAAATGCACACCTATATAACATAAAAACATAAACAAAAATCTACTTAAATTTAGCTATAGAATATAAAAGGGTGAAAATTGACCAATACATACCCAGATAACATAAATGCATAAAAATAGATTATTATAGTGATTCAGCACCTAAAGTAAAACCGATTTTTCTTTAGGGCTTCCTATTAAAAATCTGAACAAATGTTTATTTGAAATGTTCACGAAATATATACGATCCATATTTATTACATTTTTCTAAATATTCAAAATCTTAAAAACAAAACACAAACCCATCCGTATATTCATTTTCCCCTACTACTTGGGAATAAAAAATACTGGCTATCTTTATCTATTCATACATTTAACGCAATATAGTTGGTTTCGATAGGCATCGCCAATGGTACATAAAAAAACGTATTATTACAAAAATGGTAAAAAATGGACTAAGATAAATTTTTTACATGTGCTTCAATTATTCAATACCAATCTTTTTTTAAAATTTTTTTTCGTTAGCCCGAATAGTACGCATGTCATTCGGCTTTCGTTAATTGCGGAAAGAATGGTTTGGAATCTATTAAAGACCCTGTGAGAGGAATTGCGTCAAAACAGCACCGGATACCGGACATTTGCTACGATATTTTAAATCATCTGCTTCTATATTACTTATTAACGCAGGGAATACCAACAGACACGACAGTCACCCTGAAACCGTCGACATTAGTGTACGAAGCCAACAAAACTGTAGATGGCATAAAACTAGATTTAGGTCACATAATGCATCGGTATATAACTGTTAGACTATGACGTTATGCATCTGGTCCGAGTCTACGGCAGCACCCGTGGCCTGGTTTTATCTGTTAATTTAGATCATAGTGTGTAGCTTTAAAAATCATTTATCCGTACCGCGCTCTGGAGGAAGTTCCCCGTGACTCTTTTATGGTGTTCTTGATTAGTTACGTGTTATACGCATGTTAAATGAGGCAACTTTTTACCTCGCACACACAGTTGGGCAAGAGTACAAACTCCGTTTCTGAGCGACTTACTCTGTTCAATCCAGTTTAAATTGGTTTTAACTAGTTTACATAATTTCCTTGAGTATTATACATTTGTTTATGTCGAAATCAATCACAGTCAAAAAGCATATTTACCAAATATGTTCACTTTTAGTGATAGCGGTTGAGAGTTTTTCATTAAAAAAATATGTGAAGACCTGTAACTCAAAGGTTTCTCATTACATTTTGTAGACTAGTCGCACAATATTTTTCATAAACATTTGGAAGTCACTGTTATGAGTTGAGGTCATTGCCATGTGTTTTCCATTCATAAAACTTGGAAGACCTCTGACTAAGGGATTTTAATAATCCCTGATGCTAGAAGGTTATTTCTTTGTCTTTAACATTTGAAGGTTAGTGGCATTGGTTTTATTTTTCAAAATTTGAAAAAAGAGTGGCTGGATATTTTGTTATAATTCCTGACTCTTTAAGACCTAACACACACACACACACACACACACACACACACACACATATATATATATATATATATATATATATATATATATATATATATATATATATATATATATATGTATATATATATATATATATATATATATATATACATATACTTTGACCTCTCACTATCCATTATTTTCTTTATTTATGTTCACCCCTTAAAGGTAAGTATTGACCAGTAGACACTTACGCGACCATTAGTGTTGTTTCCAATAATATAAATCTATTTGGTTTCCAATAATATAAATCTATTAGGAACAAATTAGTATACTAGTATTAAATTGAGACTGCAGCGCACTTGCTTTGGCGAGAGAGGGACAAATGAATAAAGATTTATATAAAAAGATCTAGAGATATCCGCTTAGGGTGTGGTGTTATGTCTGTGCGCATACAGCGGACCTTATAACGATTGAAACAGATGGACCTCTCCCCCTCTCTTCCCCTCGCGTCATACTGCGAATGTTAAGAGTAGAAGGTAACAAACTAACTATTAGTAAACAAGACAATATTCAACTTACCAACACATGCATATATACATATGCAATGCAAATAGCATGAAACTATGAGATAGCATGTTTCTATAAATAATATCAAAACATCAAGTATGAAGGAAAAATAACCTAACTAGGATCTAATTAACATCAAATTATCAAAACCGATGTCCTTATTATATTAGGATTATTAGCAGACAGAAATAATATTTCTATTAGGACTTGTTATATAGTAGCACACTACAGACGAACCGGAAGAAGGAGAAAAAAAAGGGGGACTACCAAAAGGTAGAACAGAAAAGATTATTTTCTTATGCCAATAAAAATCAACTCTACTCAAGGATAGTTAGTCAGCTCCAGCTAACATCCAAAATGTCCCCACCCCCTCACACACACAAAATAATCTACACTACAACACAATCAAGGGAAACGCACTAATACCCCCGACCACTTGCGTTCCCATAAAACCCTCCCCTGGAACGGACAAGGCACAAATGCACAAAGAACAGCCCGGGCCATACGGCCAACTGTTCAAATCAAGAAGCCAAAACCACTGTCTTCACTTTGGCACTGAAGACAATAGGCCCTAATGTGACCCTTTGGTATGGCGGTTAAAAAAAAATAAAAA